TTTATTTAGCCAAATTGACAACATATGCCGGGGAACAAGAACTCAAATATCTGGAGAATAGCAGCTTCCTTTATGCATTTGCAATTAAGAAAGGAAAATAAGGAAGAGGTGAGAGAAAACAAGGTGGTGATTGGATTACACAGGAGTCCTCAAACTTTTTAAACAGGGGGCCAGTTCACTGTCCCTCAGACATTCCACACATGCGCACTGCGGGCCCGGGACGAGTCGACTGCTAAGCAGGAAAGGCAGCGGTGGCAAAAACACCCGGCGGGCCGGATAAATGTTTTTGGAGGGCCGCATGTGACCCGCAGGCCGTAGTTTGAGGACCTCCGGATTACAGGATAGTTAACAAGATTATGTGCCTTCTTGAGGGTGTTACTGCTTATTTCAAAGGTAGATGCACACACACACACACAAATGGACAGGGCTTACCTAAGTGACTTTTTACTAAACAGTTAATGCCTGTGGCTGACTACCCACCATGATCTTCCCAGTTAGGAATTTATGATCAGATCACCATAGGAGTTTACTCTCCATAGACCCTCTTTTTTTATATTCACAAATGAGTAACTTATACTCTGCTTTCAGAACTTCTCCTTTGTCTGCTGTTTCTCAGAATAATTCATAAGCCAAAGGGGCATACGTTAGGGTGGTATATTCTAGTCTTCTACAAGAGTGTCCAGTTAGCTTTGCTTGACTCTCATGATCCTCATTTGGCTCTGTAGAGGACATTGGAAACCTGGATGGACAGCCTCACCAAACTGCACATGGAAAGGGAAAGGATAATTCCCTAAGGGAAGTGAATATGCAGCTATCCAAATGCGGGTAAGTGGATATGAGAATGCTCAAGAAACAACAACACATGCTATTTATACTAAATACACTTAAATACATTTGCTTCCTGTTTTGAACCAACATCTTTTCACCCTTTCATAAACACATCTTTTAAAGAATTTTTTAAATGAGGTATTTGTGAAACTTCCCTATAGGAGACCAGAATATGTCACCCCAAAATATGCCAGTACATTTTGAAACAGCATTTATCAAATGAGAAAAACAATCAGTATTCTCCATACGTGAACTGATCATTGAGGAAGAACTACTGGGTTGACACTAGTCTCTTGTGAGTTTGGTTGGTATAGGTCTGTGGTCGGCAAACTGCGGCTCGCGAGCCACATGCGGCTCTTTGGCTCCTTGAGTGTGGCTCTTCCTAAGCCTTAGGAGTACCCTAATTAAGTTAATAACAATGTACCTACCTATATAGTTTAAGTTTAAAAAACTTGGCTCTCAAAAGAAATTTCAATTGTACTGTTGATATTTGGCTCTGTTGACTAATGAGTTTGCCAACCACTGGACCTATAGATTGCCGACCTATACTATAGGTCATCATCTCCCAGGTGTCTGCTCATCCCCAGGTGCACTGAAAAACTGCAAAGCTGAGGAGCTGTCCTTGAAACATGATGACCAAGCTACATTTATTGGTTATTCATTGGGATCTGAGTTACAGGCAGGTGTGCAGTCACCTAGTTGAAATCTTAATACCATGGTCCTTTCTGTAATTGTTTCAAGGCTGGAATCATTCCATAATACAGGAGGCTAAAGAACACAAGGTACTATGCTTTAATGTTTGGTATGTCTTCTCCCCATACCTGCCTTAGGCAAAGTTACATGAAGCGAATATTTCTCTTACTCTGTATCTCTCTCCCTCACTTAGCAAACAGAATTCTAGTGGACTATACTTACTGTGTCCTCAACATATCATCCCCCAATTTACTTCCTCTTCCTTACAACAAAATTAAAGTCTGGAGCCTCATTACTAAGAAGAGTTGCCAACCCCACCCTATTTCTCTGCGAAGTGAAAATGATTATTATCAGATAAACTCAATTGTGCTAATATCTTCTGCAGAGTGTATTATTTCTCAAGAACTTTCTGCCAACAGTGAACTCATGGTTCATGGGTCCACAATCAATCACTGAGCAACAGCAGCTGGGCCTTAGTGATATTCTTAATAAATGAGTCCAGTAGGAATCTCCATCATTCCTTAGCTGATGGGGAAGGTTCTTTATAATTTTGGGAATTTATAGCTTTCATACCGATGACAGCCTGTGTTTTTATATTAGAAATCTCTATCTTCTGAAGGCAGGGAGAAGAGATGATTGATGGGCACTTGTGATGTTGATTTTATCTAAGTCAAAAAGAAAGTACCAAGCCAAAAGATGGGAAAGAAAGAAGACCAATGTAGATAGAGCACACACTATGAGCTAGGACCATAGTACATGTTATACTAAATCAGCTCTGCCCATCCCCACATTCCCAAGCTGAGTGAAATTCAGCATGTCAACGCAACCAATGGCTGCGTCACAACTTTTCCCCAACTAGTACATAAATGTTTACATTCTCATCATACGCATTAGCATAATACACACATATAACACCTTAAACTACACACAGCAAAATCTCATCCAAGTATAATCTACACTAATAAAAGAGAAACATGGTAATTGGCATATGACCGCTACCCTTCCCATTGGCTAATCAGCGAGATATGCAAATTAACTAACAGCCAAGATGGCGACCGGCAGCCAGGCAGCTTAAACTGAACATG